GTCTTAGACATCGAAAGTGCTACTGTTTATAAATAAATGAAAATGAAATTGTCTTCTGCTGTTAAACTTGTTTTATTCTTATTCAAAACCTTACCCATAAATGAAACCAATTATGTTCAGTTTGTGAGGCAGAAATACGGGTCTTCAACAGTCAAGGATGTTTGGTTATTAGGAAAATCTATCTTAAGATTACACAAAATTAAACTAGATTTAGCGTTCTTAAAAACATGTAAACGTAACAAACTTACACCAAAATTTATTAAATTCAAAGTCACTTTAGTACATCAAGTGTATCGTAAATCAATTGAGAAATGTTATCACGATATGTTAGTCCAAGAGATAAAGTGGAAGAAACGCGAACTAACAAAAATGTATAGGCTAACCAACTCAATGAATGAAATTATTAAGCAACAATTAAATGAATTTCACTTTATTAGAATTAGATCTATTATTGAATGTATTGTTGAAAGACGATGTGCTGTGTGGAAAAACATACATGATAAGAAAATACAGTTATTGAAACATCGTCGTGAATTTACTCTAGATTCACAAACAAATCAAATTAATCCAATTACAAATCTATCTAATAAAATTTTGAACGACGACGAAAAAGAAGCTCTGATTAATGGTCTAGACTTTGTGCCACAATCGAATAAATTTGATGAACAGTCTTTTATCGCTAATGTTGAACTTTGTTTTGTCTCACTTCTGGGTTATCAAACGGATCAATTTGACTGGGAAGACAAGGATCAATAAGAAGAAATGATTTCTAATTCAACGGAACAATGAATAGAATAAACTCAGGCAGTCAAATGAACACAACAATGAATAGTCGATCAGTTACAATACCTCGTGATTTATATGCATATTATACCCTCTACTATAGTCTACTGACACCAGTCATATTTGGCATCTATCTTTTCGGTTACATTATTATATTTGTGTTGGGTTTTATACCATTCGATAGCCCGTGAAAAGTTGCATCTACTGGCGAAGTTTTGTAATAGACCATGAATGGTAAAGGGGCCAGAGGGGCGGAATACTAGCGAAAGGGTCGTTTTTCAGCAGTATCTGGAATTTCTTTCACCAGAAAAGTTTTTGAAGTAAAACTGAATAGCAAAGATGAATGCAGTGCGAAATTCTGCGTCGAATGACGTGCTTTTGTGAGTATTTGAAAATTTCTGCGAAGAGAAATCGAATTTATACGCGATTTTGATGGATTTTGGAAAAGGTGACTAAGGTTGAGTTTCTGGAAATGTTCCTGAACATTGCCGAACATGGTGCCGATGCAAAAAGTCCGAAAATTTTGTGGGCCAAGAAATGATCGTATCCGCTCTATTCGTTTATAGAAAAACTGCAGAAAAAAGTCTGGTTTTTTAATTTACATTTTCACTTTCTGCAGAAAAGAGCTCGCATATAATGCTCTTTAAT